TCAAGAGAAGAACAAAATCGTGAGGGAAAGAGTTTCAAATTATGATAAGGTACAAGTTATATCTATTATGTATTTTATACAATATAATATATTAAAAATGAATAAAGCATATCCTGACCAGGAGCACATGTGCTTTATTAGATGACAGAGCGCCATCTAGTGGAACAGAAATTAACTAAACGTTGATTTAACCTGTCCCCTGATATTTGGCCAACCCCTATTTTTTCTATTGTTCTTTCATAATATTTTATATTTATTAGGTATTATAATGTATTAGGTTTTAAGCGGCCACTATGCATTAGAGAAGGTAAAGATTTGCCTGAAATTTCTCTGTAGGGCGAAAGCAAGGACATTCATGGTAAAAATGGCTTTTATCAAGAAAAAGTCAGTTCAACATCAAAAGCAATTTCGATTAACACTAATAATCACTTTTTAAATGCTTCATTTGAAGTGATATTATATATGCTATCGATATTTGGTCTCTTAGGAATGAACAAATAGTAAAGCTACAGGCTTGAATTTTGTGCTTCTGAGCCGAAAGAGAGTATTATTATAATATGGTAAATTCGACGCTTGAATACTTGCAAGAAATTGAAATGGATTTCGGATAATCTCTTTGCCGCCTATTTTCAATATTTTTACCATGACAATGAAAAAATATTTAAAAATCATTATCCCTAGTACACGTGGTACAGGCCATGATAATCATGGTGGGTAGAAGTTGGCGACTGCTTTAAACGTGAGTGCACCACATGTCTATATATGTGTAAAGCAGTTAGACTTTTGCACTTACAAATTTTCTAGAGCCCCGTTTGGGTATTTGCACTCGCTCGTTAGGTTTAATTTTTGCAAAATTCAGGGGCAATTAGAGCATTTTTTAATCAGAAAAAAGTTCCCAAAGCGGTACTCGAACCCGGGTCGTAGCGGTAGAAAACCAACGGTTTAGACCATCTTTCCACCAACCCCCTATGAAAAACATTTTTTGATTGAAATGTCAATAGAATAGAAAAGCCTTTCTAGCCCAAGTTTCCTATTTTTCTTTAAAACTATAGGAAAGTTGATGTTTGGATGTATATTCAAAAACCTTCATTCTAAAACTAAATTTAAAATTCTAAAACGAAACACTGAGATAAAAGCATTTTTAAAAACCTAGCAGTAATATTTCTAAGTCAGAGATTATGAATATTCAAGGAAGAACATGCATTCTATGTTCCATTTTAACTTAATCTAACAAGGAAATCTGCTGCAGGGCAGGTCAGAAGATGAAACAAGATTACCTCTTTTTATGGAGATGCCATGTAGTATTTGACAAGACAAGACCTAGGGAGATGTTAAGAATTACCATGTTCCTGTTTGTTTGAGATAAAGTACATTACGAACCTTAATAAATGTTATTAAACTCTATAACCTATTTGTATTGTTTCAACTAAATAATGGAGATATCGTTTTGTTTTTCTTCTTAGAAAATGAGTACCGTTGCTACATTAGTTACATTGGTAACAAATCAGAATTTGGTGGAATATTCCAAGGGTCCAGGGGAGAATCACACACACACACACAAAAGCCTTTATTAGGGACTTGCCTCATACAGATTCTCCCAATTGGGTAAAGTAATAATCATCTTGTGCTATTTACATAGAAATTGAACTGGCTTTACTCTTCGTATCAAAGTCATTCACTTTTTGACTGGTCCTTACATAATGAAGATCTAAAATATTTATAGTAAGCTATTGCCTTAGATTTTTTTTCTGATATTTTTAAAAGCAATACGTAGGGTGAAGTGTTGGTACATTTAATATTTTGGTATAGGGCCTTCCTATCTGCATCAAGGGCTGTACAATTAAGCAGGTAAAGCGGAGTTCTTCAGTAATGTCCAGGTGAGAATCAAGGAGATGTGGTCGGAATACTGAATGGTACTGAATATTAAAAAATATATTTAGATATAAAGAAGAAAGCCTCAAGGAAGTGGCGTAGTGTGATAGCCACCTGTTGTGTCACAGCGTGAAACTGCATTGTAACGGGTTGTAGCAGGTCGTGATGTGGCAAAATGTAGTGACTACGCCTTGACCACCTCTCTCTCGATACCGTTCTACTTCACTACTTACACATCTACACAGAATATTGCTATATCTTTCTGTACGACTGGTTTTGTTTCGACTGTAGACTAATCTATTGCTGTAGTGTAGACAAGACCTGAGCGGGTAGTCATAAAAAATGTATTTAAACAAGTATTTACAAATTTTACCGATAGATCAATACAACCGAGATATATCCACAAATGAATCCTGACATAGGGATGTTGGTGTGGCATTTGATTTACAGATTTAGTCAAAACAGATAATCTATTCTGTGACAATATAGATGCTAATATAGTCTTAATATATTATAGCGAAGTATTTATTATTTTTATAGAAATTATTATTTTACACTAGTATTAACAGAGTATAATTTTTTTATGTTTATATTTTGCTACTCTGTAAACTTCCCTCATTCCTTATTGCAGTAAGGGCAGTAGAACATTGTTTTATTTTAAAAATAATCATACGCGTTAAAAATAGTTTCAATTTCTCATAACAGATAAGGCAAAAGTGCATCATAAGGTTTGGTCTGAGAGTAAAGATGTAATGTGTGAAATTATAAAATATGATTATGATTATTCGTAATATTGAGATTTGAGGAATTAGACATTAAAAAAGGGTAAGTGACGACTAAGCTTTCTAATAAAAAAAATAATCACTGAAGTTTTCATACATGCCTGTTTTCAACTAGAATTATTCATATTAGGTGAAGAAAGGAATGTCCGATAGTTACTGAAATTTCGTTTTGATTAAAAAAAAAAGGTTACGACGTCAATCTACCCCTTTTGTAATTTCCATTATGAAGATGATATTCATGTATTTATATAGAAGATAATTTCTGAAAAATAGAAAAAAAATAATCAAAGTTTACACACATATCCTTATATACAAGTATATATATATAGTATATAGTATATATATAAGGCAGTGTATGTATGTATTTATGTATGTTTGTCGGTTATACACGTCCAAAGTACGTAACTAATCTGGCTGAAATTTTAACAGTATATAAAGTTGAATCTGTAAAAACTTATAGGCAAATTTTCAGGTTTCTATCTCGAATATCCTTGGTGTTATTAACAAATTATAAACAAAATTTACCCCATTAAATATTCTGACAATGGTATTCCTCTTTATTGAGAGATAGAATATCAATATTTTCCTAGATTCTATTTGAAGCTACGATATATTAAAGAAATCAATTTCGATTAAATATTCAAATAATTCATTAGGGAGAGTAATTGATCCATATATGGAATGACCAAGGCAATATTCAGAGAGAAATTTTAGAGGGATCGCTTGCTAATTAATCATGTGTCACCATCTGATGTCGCCTTGTTGAACTCCCAGCTTTGAGGAACTTCTGAGAGAACGAGGGATGGGTCATTAGAGTTTAGTTAAGATCAAATAAAGATCTATGCAGGATCAGGCAAACGCTAGATTACTCTTTGAATGCGAATATCTAGACATATAGAACGCAAGTTTTACCGCAAATGTTTCTTTTTACAGAACGAAAAATCGTAAGTTTAATTACAGAGGGTGTTTCCTTTCAAATGAAACGATTTCAAACGTCCGTTAGAACTTTATTTTTCGAACGTGAATTTTTTTCTTGTGTTCTATGTGCTTCCCCTTCTTCTTGGCTATCTCCCTGCATCGGACTTTCCAAGCTGCGAACACTTCCTTGACTTTGGAGAGCGAAACATTCGACCACTCCTCTTGTGCGGCTTTCCAAAGTCCGGCCTCAGTTTTGGGACGTCGGTTGAAGAGCCGTTGTTTCAACATACCGAACCCGTAAAAATCCAGTGGGCTGGCGTCGGGAGACTTCACTGGAATGTCCGAGTTCCTGATAAAATTCAGGCCTAGGGTGTCCTTCATTTCTTGTAGGAACTGTTGGGTTTTGTTGGAGGTATGGGAAGAGGCTTTGTCGTGATGAAGGAACACTTTGTCCATTTCCCCTGGGTAAAGGTCCTTCAGTTGTTCGATGACAGGTTTCAGAACGCATTCTATATAGAATTCTGAGTTCACCTTCACCTTCGATGGAACCTTTATGAGCGGAAGGACTCCACGGCCAGTCATTACCCCGATAACCATGAAACCTTTAGGGAAAGTTTCGGAGCATTGGTGAACCCAATTATCCGGGACCTGATTGCCTCTTTTGATGTAACAGATCTTCCGGATTCCATTGCAATACGTCACATACATCCATGCTTCGTCCAATGTTGCAGTATATTCCGATCTGGAACCGGCCAGGTGTTCCTCGTAGAGCTTCCGGGCATTCGTTGCACGGTTTTTCATGTGGAAAGGGGTGAGCTTGTGAACCTTGCCTTTTCGTCGGGTATCCAGTTCCAAATCTTTGTGAATGATGTTATTTATCGTTTTTAGCGATGTTCCACACATTCTGGAAAGTTGGCGCTGAGATGGTGGATTTTCAGTAGTTGCTAGCCGCTTTACCTTGGAAACCGTGGCGGGGGTCCGCACCGGACGTGGTCGATCGACTTGAAATTTTTGCCCATTGGATTCAGCTTCCCTTTTCTTTCCGATGCCATTTACTACCCTACATATTGTAGCTTTGCCAACATCTAGTCCTTCTGCTTTTAGCTTTTTCACTATGACGCTATAACTGTTTCCTTCTTTGGAAAGGGTCCGAATTGTTTGTTCGACTTGGAGCGTTAGTCTCTCTCCCCCCATGTAGCAAAAATCATGATACCTGATGAAAATGAATTCTCCAGAAAATTCTAGATCTATTGGAACCAGTGTCATGTGCAGCATGCTTGCACGTGCAAAACGCGAGCGCTCGAAAATCGTTTCATTTGAAAGGAAACACCCTCCGTATTATAAGGAGAAATAACGACTATTCCTAGCCTTAGGGATTAAGTATGAAAGGATATATTGTGAAGTGTAATGATGAACGGAAAAATAAAGTGTCCCGTGATGAGAATCGAACTCACAGTGTTCCCCTACCCGGGCAGATGCCATGTCCACTAAGCTACCCTGGACATATTTTTCCGTTCATAAATATTATATAAAGTTAATTTATAATACAATATAATAAGGCTATGATTATAGAACGACGTTTAACAAGTTTTACCGCAAGTTATTATTTTTACAGAACGAAAAATCGTAATTTTATTAGACATATTTGACTGCCATTTCATGAAATTATAATTCAGGTAGATATGCCTTGTATACCTGGTAATTTTATACATATATTTACTAATATTAACTCTTGGTTTAATATATGATAAAATATGATTGAAATTGAAATGCAGAATATTTATGACACAATATCTATAAATAAAATAATTATATGAAGTACGAAATTAGACTAGTATCAGATGGATAAATTAAGAAAAAGGCAATCTCCTGATCGTGCATCTTTTGCTGATGGCTTGCGCCATCTGTTGGAATGAATATCAACTAATCGTTTTTTTTATTTTTATTTCAAAAATAGAAAAAAATGGTCAAAGAAATTATATTTGACCAATTCTGAAATAATTAAAAAATCAACGATAAAGATATATATTAATACAAAGAAATAACGCGCCATCTATATATAGCAGGTCTATTAGTATGAAACGCGAAAATGGCTGCCAGAGGGCGCTGTGCAACTTTATTTGAGCCCACGGTGGCGCTGTTGAAGGCATTTTGTTTTTTGACTCACGTGGCATCAGCATGCGTGGAGCTTTAGAAAAATTCAAATCGTGGAAAATTTCTGGAGCCCGTGGAAAATAGTGATTTCCGAGCCAAAAAGTGCCCATTTGCGGGAAGTTTTGTTGTTCGCCTTCAACTGGAAGAAAAGTGCCACTGAAGACCACCGAATGCTCGAGGAAGTTCACGGCGACCACGCTCTTAGCAAATCACAGTGTTACAGGTGGTTTAAAAAATTCCAAAGTGGCGATTTCGAACTTGATAATGAACCACGTGGAAAACCGCACCAAAAGTTCGAGGGCGCTGAACTGCAAGCTTTGTTGGATGACGACAGTACCCAAACGCAGGAGAAACTCGCGAAACAGCTCCAGGTGTCTCCAGTTCTGTTTTCCTACGTTTAAACAGCCTCAGAATGACCTAAAAGCTTTCCAGATAGGTCCCCCACGAGTTGAGCGAAAGGCAGCAAGAACGGCGTCTGGTAACCTGCGAAGGGCTGCTCGCCAGGCATGAAAAGAAGTCATTTTTGCACCGAATCGTAACTTCTGATGAGAAATCGATCCACTTCAGCAATCCTATGCGCCAAAAGTCGTGGGGCCTGCTCGGCCAATTTCCAAAACGGAAGCCTAGGCCCAATCGCTTAGGAAAAAAGGCAATGCTTTGCGTATGGTGGGACCAGACCGGCGTAGTATATTTCGAGCTCCTGAAACCTGGCGAAACGGTCAATACTAGTCGCTACGAACAACAAATGCACAGTTTGAGAGAGGCATTGAATGAAAAAAGACCGGAATTGCGTGAAAAGCACAACAAGCTGATACCGCAGCATGACAACGCTCCAGCCCACAACGCTACAGTGGTCAAAAACACCATAAAAGACTTGGGCTGGGAACTCTTACCCCACCCGCCGTACTCACCAGACTTAGCGCCGTCGGACTACCACCTTTTCACATCTTTAGGACACGCCCTAAAAAACCAGGAATTTTCGAACTCAGACATACTCCGAAAATGGCTTGTTGACTGGTTAGACTCAAAAGAAATATAAATTTTCAGACAAGGAATTCGAAAATTGCCTGAAAGGTGGTCCGAGTGTATAGCTAATCAGGGCAATTACTTTGAATAAAAAATCTTTTGTTGTATGGAATTGGTGAACTTTTGAATTCACTGAAAATTTTCGCGTTTTATACTAATAGATCTGGTATATGTAATGAAAGGATTTAAAAGCACGAATGTTTCTTTTATACATAACTAGAGAATGTACCCGGCTTCGCCCGGGTTTTACCCGAGTAAAGGTTTGTCTAACGAACATTTGTTAAAGCAATTCTCTATAAACTTATTTTAAAAAAATAATAGATATATTTTGATAATTTGAAACTCGTAAATTTGAATCTCTCGATGAAGTGAACATTTTTTCCCGGTCCCTTGAAAAATACTCGATAAGTTGAATAAAATCAATATTAATTGGTTCCCTCGGTAATTGGAAGTTAAAGGAATAGTATCTTGCCTTGGAATTGTATCATTATTATTGTCTCAAATAAATTGCCGTGTCATCCTGAATTTTGTCTTTCCTAATTTTCTACATTACAAAATCATCATTTTATCTATTCTCCCAATATATATGTTGTAGATAAATGATAAAACTAACTTTGACTTGTGCGCAATTAATAGGTTGTAAATCTTACTTTTGATAAATAATCTTTAAGATAATAAACTTAGTGATAATAAAACTTATAGATAAAAACACCTGTTATCATCGTCGCAATGGGGGCGCTGCTTGCGAGTTAAATCTACAAATCTGCAAATAACTCTAAGGATATTCAATATATTCAAGAAATTATTTTTCAAAAACCTTCCCGGGGATATCTATATATATAATTGCCTTATTCTGTCTGAAGCTCACGGATAGAATGCGCGCCCATTGGTTGCCGGCGAACACGTGTCCTCCCTGCCCCCCTCTAGACAACCCTGTTATCATTACATACACCTGTCTATAGCGGCCATTCTAGACAACCCTGTTATCAGCAGTGTGTTACATCCACCTGTCTATACAGACCACCCTGTCTATAGCGGTCACCTTAGGCAACCCTGTAATCAGCAGTGTGTTACATCCACCTGTCTATACAGACCACCCTGTCCATAGCGGTCACTCTAGGCAACCCTGTTATCAGCAGTGTGATACATACACCTGTCTATTCAGACCACGCTGTCTACAGCGGCCACTCTAGACAACCCTGTTATCAGCTGTGTGATACATACACCTGTCTATACAGACCACCCTGTCTACAGCGACCACTCTAGACAACCCTGTTATCAGCTGTGTGATACATCCACCTGTCTATACAGCCCACCCTGTCTATAGCGGTCACCTTAGGCAACCCTGTAATCAGCAGTGTGTTACATCCACCTGTCTATACAGACCACCCTGTCCATAGCGGTCACTCTAGGCAACCCTGTTATCAGCAGTGTGATACATACACCTGTCTATACAGACCACCCTGTCTACAGCGGCCACTCTAGACAACCCTGTTATCAGCTGTGTGATACATACACCTGTCTATACAGACCACCCTGTCTATAGCGGCCACTCTAGGCAACCCTGTTATCAGCTGTGTAACATCCACCTGTCTATACAGACCACCCTGTCTATAGCGGCCACTCTAGGCAACCCTAGGAAGCAAGATGTATACAAGGTGTAGACAAGATGAAGATCTAGATGAAGAATAAAACGTTTTTAAAATATATTCGCACTCGGGTAAAACCCGGGCGTTGCCCGGGCCATTCGTCTAGTACCTAATAATATCCCAAATTTTCACGGCAATTGGATGTATGGTTTTTGAATCTATAGAGTACACACAGACAGACATTCAATTTTATATATATACTAGCGGATGTACCCGGCTTTGCCCAGGTTTTACCCGAGTAAAGGTTTGTGTAATGAACATTTGTTAAAACAATTCTCTATAAACTTATAAAAAAAATAATAGATATACTTTGATAATTTGAAACTCGTAAATTTGAATCTCATATAAAATGATCATTTTTTCCCGGTCCCTGTGTGCCGTGTCATCCTGAATTTTGTCTTTCCTAATTTTCTACATTACAAAATCATCGTTTTATCTAGTGAACATTTTTCCCGGTCCCTTGAAAAATACTCGATAAGTTGAATAAATTCATGGTCGTTTATGGAAGATGGACGAAGTTCCCGGAGGTCATCTTGGGCAAGCCCCCGCGAGGCTTTTTTTTTCTACTTGGCACAGCTGTGTCACCAACTCTGCCCCCGCGCGCCAGGACCTCTTGACCCCTCTGATTGGTCGGTGGGTACTTGGACTGTCCATCCGGCCGGTGGCCGGACGATTACATTCTCTCGACAGGGGGTGGGCAGACCTAAGCCTATCTGGTGAACATTTTTCCCGGTCCCTTGAAAAATACTCGATAAGTTGAATAAATTCATGGTCGTTTATGGAAGATGGACGAAGTTCCCGGAGGTCATCTTTTTAAAATTGTAAAAAAAAAAAATGCATCGGCCGGGAATCGAACCTGGGCCGCTTGCGTGGCAGGCGAGCATTCTACCGCTGGACCACCGATGCTTATAAGAAATGACCATATGAGCTTGGCTCATCAGTGGTGAACCTTCCCAGCGGTTTCGCCAATTTAATCTACCAGACCGCTTCTCAGAGCTCTAATACTGTATTGGACGATTCTGCTTATATACGCAGCACTGATATATATATATCGAGCCATCAGCAACGTTTAGCTGCTCGATCATGAGATTGCCTTTTTCTTAATATACGAGAATGAGTCAATAAGTTTTAAGAAAGTGTCCTAATAAAAAAAATTGAAGAATTATAAACTTACTTTTTTCTACATAGTCACAGTCTTTTTCAATGCATATATTCTATCTTTTAACTAGCTTGTCAAATCCCTGAAAGAAGAATATTTGAGGTTGTTCCCTACACCCTCTTGGGCAATCTTTTTCACCTTCAAATTCGTCGAGAATCTTTTTCCATAAAGAGCAGCTTTAAAGTGTGTAAAAAGATGAAGATGTATCTGTTTTAAAAACGCCTGTGCATTTTATTTTATTACGAGGTATTCAAAATTTTGAATAAGATATATGGTATTTTGAAAATAGAGCAATCCATAAATAAATCTTTAATTAAAAAGGCATTTATTGGATCAAAATATCATTTATTTAACCAATATTTCGAATCATTATAAATCAAGGTATTATAACATATTTAATGTGTGTCAACAACAAACTCAGCGCCACATAACGTCAAAAGAAAACAACAATTCTGATGAGGTTATATGGTGCTGAGTTTGTTGTTGACATACATTAATATGTTATAATACCTTGA